CACTATCTTATTATTAGATTTATGTCAAATAACAAGGAAACCACCTCTCTCCACTACACTGGTGATGTTTTGCATTATAAAACTACTATGACAAAGGTTCCTTATACAGCAGATAATGATTAACACAGACAACTGTCCAACCTGCATGAAATAAGAGACTGAGAATTATCTGTAAATCAGAATCCTCTATCAAACCTCTGCCTCTAAAGACTCAGAATATGTGGAAGAGGTGGCCTAAAAACTGCAAGATCCAGAGGTGGTCGGTGACCACAAGGAAACAGTCTTCCAGACTGCTGGTCAGGTACACATATGAACTCACATGCACAAGTCCCATGTAAGTTAAAGACAAATATAATCCAGACATAGACATGGGGGATTGGGTAAGAAACCCCAGCACTTCTGAATATATAAGGAATTTTGGAAATAGGATCACTAATATCTTTTAGGATGTGACTCTTGGTATTAAACTGTCCAGTGGATGGATCCACATGGAAGGACATTTGCAAACACAGATTTGACTCTATCCTATAGAGTTCATTAAATTGGGTGAGGGGTAGCAAGGCAAATACAGATAGGGGAGGGGATCTAAATAGGATCAAAATGTGTTGAATAAAATTCACAAAAAAATCATTTATATAAGGGAATAACACAATCGAAATTACTGTCCAAAATTGTCTGTCATTATTTATTACAATTATTTAGGAATTCATATACCTTGTAAACAATAGGGAACTTTACCACATGTCATTAAAGTTGTTGAGATAAAACTCTAAGTGTCCTGGTGGATATGATGCAACCTTAGTTTTGTTGCTAATTTAAATATAACATATGAAACATACAATTAGAACTTTGCAAGTAACCATCATACTAATTTGTAAAAGACAATAAACATTGTGTTTGACTTATAATTATTTTTTTGTCTTTTTGAGACAGGGTCTCCCTGTAGCTCCAGATGGCTTGGAACGTGCTGTGTAAACCAGGATGGCCTGGAACTCACAGAGCTCAGCCTACCTGTGCCTCCCAATTGTTGGGATAAAAGAAGTGTGCTAATATTTTTTTAAAGTGAGAAAATGCATGAAGACATACATCATCATTATGGGAAAGTGGAAGTGGACTCTACCTGAGACCCTCATGAGAATAATTTAAGTTTCAACAGTATTTAAATTGGTTGCTTAAAAAAAAAATAAAGTCGAGCAAGGTGACCCACATCTTTAAACTCAGCACTCAATAGGCATAGGTAGGTGGATCTCTGTGAGATGGAAGGCAACTTGGTCTACATAGCAAGTTCCAGGCCAGCTGGTGTTACACAAATACCTGTCTCAGACCAAAATGAAAAAAAAAATAATCGAAGAAAAAAATCTGTCATTGCATGTTCAAATTTTTGTTTGGGAACAAGTAACTTGTGTACCTTGTATACATCTATCTACATTTTCATAAATACAATTTATTTCACAAATATTATCTGTATGAATATAAGCTGTGAATCTGGTTTTCATTCCTTCAATATGGTGCTCAGGCTGAAGCAGTTCCTGTTTGAGTCATGCAGTTTCATGAAAGAGAGAAAGAATGTGGGCATAAGAAGAAGTAAAGTGACAACTGGTGGTCTTGTTTGTTTATTTCACCATTTGACATTACTCTTGCTTAAGTACACAGCAAATGACTAGATAAGTTGAATTTGCAGGTATGACACTCTCATTAAAAATGTCATATTTTATATATAACCTCTTACAATGGAAGGTGGTGATAATTATTGAGAAAATACACAAATACACTAAGAATGTCAAGTTTCCCATGGTTGCCTACAGCTGTAACCTCAGCACTCAGGAAACTAAGAAAGGGGCAATATGAGTCAAGGTCGGCCTGAGCTACATTGTGAGACTGTGTCAAAAATGTGATACACTGGGCTGAAACATAGAACAGGCATTATTGCTAGTACTACAGAGGGGTGCAGTTGATACTTTTCAATAATTATTGTAACAAGGAAATTCGAGTTAATATGGAAAACCGAAAACAAATAATTTCAAAGAGAAAACATTGAGATGATGCACAGAGCTGCTTTCAGGACCAAGATCTATCAGAGCATGAATAAATAAAGTTGGTGGGAGTTGCCATGAATTCAGTAGACTTGGGAAAATACACTAATGAAAGAAGACCAGGATAAAGGCAAAAATAGTAAGGGAAATTTACTTGCAATTAAGTGAGAAAGTCTGGAACATTAATTGAGAGAACAGTCATAGAAGATGAGTCTACTGCTATAATTGAGGAAAGATAAAATAATGTGGTAAGAGTTTATTTTTTAACTTCTCTAGCTGAAGCTTTTCACTGAAAAACGTGTAAGTCATATAACAGAAGAATACTCAGGGAAATCGTCCTGAGGAATCTGAGATTTAGAGGAAACCAGTACATAGAGCAAGAATCAGTGAGTCTGGAATAGAATGAATTTCCTAGATGAAGTCAATGAACATGTGAGAGAAAAGCACAGCTATCTGGGGGTGGTAGTCAATGTATTTCTTTGACAGAATCCACCTGTACCACCCAGACGGAGGAACAATCAATGGTGGATTGTGTCAACGCTGTTATTTTTTGGAAAACGAGTTCCAGGAACTCTAACGAATGAGAGTTTGTGACCATACATGAAAAATGAGGCTACCGTTTACTCAGAGGGTTACATGCTGCAGCTAAAGAAGAGGAGGTACAAGTGGTTTTATCAAGATTGGTCTGACAAACAAAACAGAGTATCATTGACATGACTGTTTGAGTGAGCTCTAAGACATCCTGTATTTACCTACATATAAACTCCTAAACAAGAATTAGAAGACATTTTAATATCCTACTTTTGTTGTAAACCATGATGAATTTGAAGACTTAAACCATGTTTTTCAGATGCACGCTCACACCCTAATAATACCTCCAACAGAATGAATGTAACCATATACATAGATTATAGTACTGGAACAGACTAAAGTGCACACTAATGTATTAAATTAGAAATTGTATCAGAATGAACAATAGTGGATTAACAAATTTTTCCTACTAGATGACATGCACTTTTAATAAAACATTTAACTTAATTTTTTAATGTATAATATATACACATATACTCATACTATGCAACAACTTATAATAGCCCTATAATAACAAATTCTTATATACTGCTGCCTATAAAGATGCCATGTTTAATAGCATTTTCATGTATTAACTTATACCTTATCGTCTCTGTACATAAGCAAAAAACAAAAATACTGTCCCTGATGAAATACAATTGAATATGCTTTCTTAAATCCTTTAGAAAAAAAAATAAACAAAACAAATGGTGAACAAGTGGATCAATAATAAACAAAATAAAGAGCAAATATTCCCAATATTTATGTGCAGTACTTTTATAGATACATAATGAATGCATTATAATTAAATATCCATTTATTTAAAATAGGCATTTTATTATATATGAAAGTCAGTAGATATGTCTATATATTGAGCTATCTGCATATATATAAATGGAAATATCAATAGTTAAGACCATTTTGGGTACATTGAGCTCTTTTTCCTGTTTTGAAGGTCAAATAGTGCATTGATCTTCGATGCTATTGGTAATCAACTGATTCTGTAATCTTAAAACCGTCTCTGAAATGTTAAATCTCCTCTGAAACCTTGGTTTCTGTGGGGCTTAAGTATAACTTGCTTAGAGTGTAACAATTAGGGTAAAGCCTCATCAAATCAGATTTTATGGACAGAAAACTCATTTTATTTTTCTTTGAAGGATATACTAAATATTGACTAATAAGCGGTGTTGCAAATTTTGGAGGAAAAGATGGTAGAACTGAAAGTTTAAGAGTAGAGGTTGGTTGGGGCTGGAGAGCTGCCTCATCAGTCAAGAGCATGAACTGCTCTTGCAGAGAACCCAGGTTCGGGTCCCAGTACCTACCTAACAATCATCTAAAACTCCAGTTCCAGGGAATCTGACCCTCTCTTCTGGCCATTGCGGGTATTGCATGACACAACTGCACTAACATGCAGGTCAAACATTCAGATACATTAAAAATAAATAAGTACTAAATGGGCGTGGTGGTGCACGCTTTTAATCACAGTACTCTGGAGGCAGAGGCAGGCAGATCTCTGTGAGTTCAAGACCAGCCTGGCCTACATAGTGAGTTCCAGGAAAGCTGGAGTTATTATTTAATTTAATTAAATTAATTTATTTATTTGTCTTTTTTGAGACAGGGTCTCCCTGTAGCTCCAGCTATCCTGGAACTCACTATGTAGACCATGCTGGCCTTGAACTCACAGGGATCCACCTGCCTCTGCCTCCCAAGTGCTGTGAATACAGGCGTGCACCACCACAACCTGCTAAGTAAATACTTTTTTAAAAAGTTGTAGATGATTATCAGTTCAGGGAGAAAACAATTAAAAGCACATTACTGTCATGGAAACCATGATGACAAAAATATGGAGTGTGTTTGAGAAGTATTATGGAAATACAATGAATCCCCAGTAAATGATGAGACAACAAAATAGAGGCAGAAAAAAATTTTAGTACAACTTCCATACATGCAGACAAGGGATATAAAATGAGAAGCAATAAGATATCATCATGATTTCATAAATTTTATTATTAGTGACCATTAATCCCTCAAAAATAACCACAATAATTCAATTGTAAAGTTAGGAAAATGCAAATAATGACAAATTGAGAAATAAATAATTCATACAGTTTTGAAGTATCAATCTAATAGGACATTTCATTATGTTTCGTTTGACATTCTGTCATCAGAAAGCCTGACATAAAGCAATTTAAAGATCATGTAAAGTGATGAGGGCATCAAAGATCTAGTTGGTAAGGCTGTCATGGAATGTAACAAATGACATTATAAAATGGATGGTTCTTATAGACATTACAGTATTTACTAGAGACCTACCCAGTGCTGATTTTATATAGTTTCTCTTTTAGTAAAAATTGCTGAAATCAGCAACAGATTATGCACCATCGATTTATGGCTTACCATTAACAATAACAATGATGTCACGGAAGTCAATCTCTCCCCTGGCCTCCACTCTTCCTTCACACCTGTATACACCTTCATCACTTTTATTGATGTTGAGAATCTGCAGATTATTGTTTGCTAACACAGCAAACCGATCTGGAAACAAGCAAACGGAAGGCAACAGTATTAGTTATTGAAGCTGAATCCAGAGCGCTCTAAATTGTTGAGTGAAAATACAGCATTTGTCAGACACTATCCAACTTTTCATCAACCAAAAAATTCAAATTTGAAAGTAAAATGTAATTTCATGACTTCAAGTTTTCCACTCTACTTCAGCCTTATTATGCATTCCTTCCTCTAAAATTCGTAAAATGCATTCAATACTTTATATCCACATAAAGCGTTTAGGGTATCTTCTTCGATGATGTTCTGAATTCAGAAAAGACACACGAAAGAACTATGCAGAGGGAAAGGGAGATCAGTTATTGCTGACTTGACAACTTTTCACTGTAAATATGTAGCATCTTGGCAACAGAAAACTTAGAAATTGATTGAACATACTTCCCTAGAAATAATTAAACTAATTTTCATAATTTGATAAGGCAGATAAAAGATAGAATAATATTTAAGTATAATAAGCATATAAAAAGTTTATATCTTGAATTTATTCAAGGGAAGATTTTTTTCAAAATCCAAAGTAATCTGCTTTAGAAACAAATAGATTCGTGCATATTCTTTTCAAACTTCTATTTTGTGTGTTTACATGCATACAAACATTAGGCTGGTTCAGGGCATATATTATTTGTCTGCAACTGACTGCCAAAAGTAATATTCTATAATTATCTGAGCACCAGCTGTTTATCTTTATGATCACTGAAGTTATATTTTAAGTACAAAAAAACCTTTTCTCATTATGTGAAGAATGTTTTCACATCTACTTCTACTTTGTGAAACATCTTGCACAGTCAGCACCTCAAATTTCATTTACTAGTGCATCCACAGAGAACTTCGAATATCAGTTTTAAGCTCTATGTGCTGTGTGAGATACTTTGATTAATGTATGCAATCTTTGTTAAATTTGGGCCTATTGGTCAAGGAGAATTTCTACTATTTCATAGTACCTTGCCTCTAGGACATTTACTATCTTGAGGTCATTTTATCACCTGTTTCATCTAGTATTTACTGACTTTTCTCCTGGTTTCTACGATTTGCATGCATCATTTGACAGAAATGCTCAGATAGATGAATGGACTCAAAGAATCAAGTAAACAAATGACCCAATCAAGAAATGGGCTGTAGATCTGAACGTTCAAAAGAAGAAATAAAAGATGTGACTAAGAAACATCTTTAAAGGTGTTCAAGATCCTTACTAATCAGGAAAATGAAAATGAAAATCAAAACCAATTTAAGATTTAACGTTTCCCCAGTCAGATGGATAAGATCAACAGATCAAATGATACCAACTACTGGCGAGGATGTAGGTAAAGGGAAACTCATTCACTTTTGGTAGGACTGCAAACAGGGGGCATCACTATGAGAAACAATTGTAAAGAATCTTTAAAAACTGAAAATGAATCTACCATATGATCTGGGTATTCCACTCCTTGGTGTATACTCAGAGGACTCATCCTACTGCAGAGATACCTGTACACCCGTGTTTGTTGCTGCTCCCTTTACAATAGCTTAGAAAGGAGGCAACATAAATGTACCTCAGCTGATGATTGGGTAACAAAAATGTGGTACATTTACACATTGGAGTTCCATTCATTAGTAAAATAAGAAAAGATGAAATTTGCAGGTAAATGGATGGAAATAAGAATGGTTAATTAAAGTAACACAGACTCAGAAAAGCAAGTGACATATGATCTTTCTCATTTATGAATTTTAGCTTCAAATACCTATATGTGAGTATATATCTTAATGTAACTGCAGGGGACAGGAAAATGGAAAGAAACTACAAGGATTAAGGTGAAGAAGGTGCTCAAGAAAAGAGGGACTCAAAGGAGATAGATATTATCAAAGGAGAAATGGGGAAGATGGGAGCGCTTCAACTGAGAAGAGCAGAGGGAGAGTTAGACAAGGAGAGAGGAGAGACAAACAATGCTTAAGTGGTAGGACAAACAAGAGGGAAATGCATTAATTCAAAAGTCTACTAAAAATTATACACACAGTCTCTGTACATGAGTGTATTTGTATTTTTGACAGCTATATTAAAAGAAACAGTGACAGACAGGGTCAGCATAGTCCAAAAGACTCCAGAAATTGCACAGAATACCGATAATTTGAAGGTAAAATTATATTATTTAAACAGAACTGTCCTCAGATACAGGACTTGGACCAATGGGACTGGAACTGACCTGGAAACCTCCTCCCTAAGGAATAGCTCTCATAGTTCCAGAGAATAGCGTTCAAGGTGCTAAGGGAGAAAATTAATCAATGGTCCAATCCCAGCTGTAAAATCTGATAACCACAATGACTGGCACAAAAAACTATCTCCATGTAAATCATGGAAGTCACAGTTGCATGGAAATCACCGAATCCATTTCTGGAGGGAAATACACACACACACACACACACACACACACACACACACACACACATACATATATATATTCTGTTACCAGGATTTCTGGCTGGCGTTATGTAGAATCCTGCCTTGATCCATGCTGAAAACTGGACTACTCAAGAGTGAAAAAAAAATAAACAAATAACCTATTATGTTACTGAGTCATTATAATATGGGAATTAATTTTTCATAGAAATTATTTCATAATATGGAGAGATGTTTGGAGGAAAAATAAGAGAAAACACAATCCTCATGAAATGGTCTTTAAAATAAGCAAGTTAAGTAGTCAGTTGTCATATAAGAAACAATTAATTGATAAGAATCGAAATGAGTAGATTCACAGGGTGCCTCAGAAACAGACTGCTAATTAAAAAGACAAAGTGACAATATTTGTACCGTTGGATATTTTATATACCTTTCCATTATGCCTGTTTCGTTTTTTTAAATTCCTCTGAGGTTTTAAATGTTTATGCAAAGTCTTCCCTTGGCAAATCAAAGAGAAAATATGAAATGTTCTCGCTGAAGGAGAGACTAGGCTAGAGAGAAAGAATGGTGATCTCTAAGAATTTGTGGTTTAATCAAAAGGATTTCTGGAATGGCTCAGAACAACTGAAAATTCATGATGGCTGAAGGTCACTTTAAAATTTTTTTATCAAATTTTCTGGTTGTGTATTAGAACAAGAACTTTTCATATATGTTTAAAGGCATTGAAAGTGGGGATGATTATCACAATCACACCAAGATAACTGTGTTTTCCAACTTGCTAAAATATGCAACATCTTCTGTCATATCCTTTTGTAATATTTTATTATCAACAAAAATAGTAACAGAAAATGTGATGTTTTAGAAAATAATTGAAAGACAGTTACAATCACATAATGCAATACTTTAATAATAATAATTAAGGGTTTTATTATTCTGATAGAAAATGCTTCTTTCAAATGGATCATTTTATCCATTACTTTTACTAATGGATAGAAAATAATTAGAAAGTATAATTTCCTAAACACATGATAGCATATATCTTTATACTTATAAATTCTCTTTTCTTAAAAGAAAACTATTTCAAAATTGCATTTAAAATTCCAAATGTGGGTGTAAAGCTCATAGATGGTATACAGCTAGCAAAACAAAGCACGGCATTTCCAGAGAAGCAAATAAACCAACAAACAAAACTGTGGAGAGCCATGCATTAAGTAATAGCAAGTAGAACAAGGAAGAAATCAAAGTGGAAAATTTTAAATTCCTATAACTGAATGAAAATGAAAATATACCAAAATCTATGTGACACATTTATGGCATCCCCGAGAGGAATATTTATAGAACTAAGTGACTATATTACAAAATTAGAGACATTACATATTATTACTTAACATGCACTTGAAACCCGTAGAAAGACAAGAACAATCAAAATACCTAAAAGGAGTACATAAGAAGATATAATTAAAATCAGTGCTAAAATTAATAAAATAGAAATGAAAAAAGTAATACAAAGGATAAATGAAGAGTTGATTCTTCCAAAAGAGTAATAAAATCGACAAACCTCTAGTCAAATTAAAGAGAGGACCCAATTAATAAAACCAGAGTTGTGAGGCTAGAGAGATAACTCAGCAGTTAAGAGCACTGGCTTCTGTTTCAGAGGACGCAGGTTCTATTCCCAGCATTCAAATGGCAACTAACAACTGTCATAAATCCAGTTCCAGGGGAATCTGACACCTTCTTCTGACCTCAGCAGGCATTATACAACATGGATGCAGTTACATACATGCAGGCAATACACCCATACACATACAATAATGAAAATAATACTTTTTAATTAAAAATAAAATCAGATATGAAAATATAAACATTGCAACACTTACTGAGGGAATTCAGAGAACCATAGCAAAGTACCTTAAAAACCTATATTCTGCTGGGAGGGTGGTGCGCTCTAGAATATGGGAGGCAGAGGGAGGCAATTTCTACGAGACCAATGCTATCCTGTTATCAATACCGAGTTCCAGGTCAGCTGGGGCTGCAGGGAGACCCTGTCTCAACAAGACAAAAAAAAAAACAACAAAATACCCAAAACAAAACAGGGGTGGAGGCTGGAGAGATGGTTCAGCAATTAAGAGCACTGGTGGCTGCTCTTGTAGAAGACCTGGGTTTGAAACCCAGCACCCACACAGTGACTAACAACCACAATTCCAGTTCCAGGGAATCTGACGTCCTCCTTCTGTCCTCCTTGGTTACTGCATGACACAGGGGCACTTACATGTAGGCATAAAGATGAAACAATTTAAATAGAGCTATCAAAAGCATATAGAAGCAGTGTAATTAAAAAAATCTCCCAAATTAAAAATGACCAGTACCTGATGGGTATATCACAAAATTCTAAAGAAAAACTCTCTTCCAAATTCCTATTATGAAAGTAGTATGATCCTGACACCCAAACCAGGAAAAGATAAAATAAAATAAAACAAAATTATAGACCAATTACATTGATGAACATAGACACAAAATTTCTCAATAAAATATTTGCAAACCAAATGCAAGAGCACATCAGAAAAGATTGTCCACAACTATCTAGTTGACTTCATCCCAGAAATGC